GCAGGAGATATGAAGGCGAGAAGGATGGTTGTTCGTAGACGACCCTGCTTTCATAACATTTTCTGAAACTGACCTCCAGCGCTCGCTGGAAAAGTTTGCGGTCGGCGTGCATGTGAAAGCGTCTAAAACAAAAGACCGTGTGCTTTCCAATTCTCACGCCAGATTCGTCCTGCAGATGAACCAACAAACAGTGGAAGAGGTGCAGAAGTTCATGGCGCATGAGGGCCATATTTACTGGTGAGAAAAAATGGGAGGAAAAGATAGACCGGTAAATTGGAATTCCAGCGGAGTTCTGCGTGAACTAGCCTGAACCGTTGTGACTGAGTCTGAATACTCATCTGTCTGAGTAAAAACCGATATTTTGCCGATGTTCACTTGCAGTCTTGAGTCATGTGCTATGACCGAAAATATTCGATCCCTAGCAGTAACGGATGACATGGTCTTTCTCAGACGAATCGTTGGGCCCACTGCTCTGATGATATTGCAGTTCAGATATCTTAAGGGACTTTGGGCGTAAGGCCGCTGCTTCGTCAGTATGAGAAGTCACAGTTGCGATGTTTTGAGCAGGGCTGTGAATGTTTCGAAAAGGAAGGAGAATCAGCTACTTTTGCCAAACAGACCAGCCGAAGTCCCCGGGTCTCTACACACTCTGCTCCAGACTCGGGTTGCGTTCTTTCGAAGCTGAAACTCTGGCGCAGGATCGGATACGTTGGGCCATTGCCTGACGCGTCTACCTCCGCTACCTGAGAAAAAGCGGTCATCGAAATTGACTGCCTTTTGATCAGTAGTTGGCGTCCATGGCTCTGGTCCATACCATTGTTTGTATTAAAACGTCTGCTGGTCTGGATGAACCTCATGCTTATTTAGTCTTTCTTAATTTAATGTTGGTCTGTCATTTGTCATCTGCCAACCTGTCATTTTAGACGACACAGTGTAGAAGATCAACAGAGTTTTTTTTTCGCATTCTGCTTCGATTACTACAAATTTTTCTTTCTTGTCGTGCACCACCCTTTTCTCTTAAGTCAACGCTGTTCCATTTCTTAGGGTTATGCATGTGTTTCATTCTTCTTTCCTTGATGAAATTATTCGTTTCCCTAAAATACCTAACCCCATTTGCAAATAAACAGCCTGAAAACGGTTTATTTCTACACAACGTAAATAAGACTGGCAAATCGAATGACTGACCAATGCAGTCGTTGACGTTCGAGTCTCACGGGCCTTGTTCAATGTAGAGGGGGTTTATTTCCGGCGTTCTTTCTGTGGTGCACTGCTACTGTAACGTTTGGAGCCAAAAAGCAAAGTAATTAAATCATGTTTTTATGCCGCTTTCATCCTGATCACCAATGCACGAACGAATTACTCTATTTGCACGGAATACGGTAGACGCGTCCACATTTTTCTTCCGGTGGTATCTTCGTTTTGATATGTGTTAGTTGACTGCAGAGTATGAGTTCAGAGTTGAACACATCTTTTAGGCCAAATGATGAGGGTATTCTTCGAAACTGTTCACTCCTGAGGCAGTCATATTACCCTACAGGCAACTTCACCGCTTTCAGCTTTCTTCCGCATGCTAAAGCGGTTCATTTGGTGATGAATAACTGCTTCAACGAAGTGTTTTGTACAGCTACTCTTTCTTAGCGCTATCCTTATGTAATTCAGTTCTTTCCGAATTTGGACTTTTCATCGAACAGTTTGGAACTCAGTTTTGGACATCTGATGACAAGAGCTTTAATGATGCCTTTTATTGTTCCATAAGGATGATTTGAAGCAAGTCGTTGGAAGCTGTTGGTCCGCGTTTGGGTAGATCTTTGTTTCATGCACAATCAAAGCATAAATAAAGCTTCAGGTTTATGATTCTGGGCCTGCAGTTATATAGAAAGGTGGGTGAATGAACGATTCATTGTTCAAAGCATGAAACACAGCAGATGGTCCAATCTTTAATGTCTTTAAAATAACAATAAGGGTTTGACAGTCTGCTGAGATTGGTGCCCTGAACCATGAATCGTTCAACCAATTATTCATAATCAAGGCATAATCAAACCCTTGCAAAATGTCATCTGCCATTTGAATGTAAAATGGTAATTCAGCGGCTAAATTGATCAAACACCTGAACAATGGCGAAGAGTCAATACTCAAGAAGTTGAGTGAACTAAAGGTCGTTCATTCAATACTAGTGGTAAACATCAGGGAAATATGTCGTTGCATCGCTGCTAAATTTTAACCCATATTATCATCCCGTTAAAATATATTGCATAGTTTAAAGAGAGTTCTTGTTTCTCACCAGATAATTTTCTCGTCAGAGACGAAATCGGTCACTATACTTCATTGCACCAATGTACTATTTTCTTCATATGTTTCACTTATTCATTATTGAGCTAATTTACATTCTGCGACAATTTTTAGGCGGGCTAATAGGGAATTTAATTACTTACATAATTATATATTTTTTAGTTGTTTTAAAATGCATACCCAGAACATTTTTACACCTTCTTGCGTTCATCAGATATTGTCTAACAAGGTTGATCAATAATCTTTTCGTAGTCATCACATCCGCTGAGGAAATACGTGTCCAGAAGAGCATAGAAATGGTCCTTACGTGATTCCATCATTAAATATCCAAATTCGTCGAATCCAAAACGCTTCTGTACGCTGCTCTACGTACATTCATTTTGACCTGCCCGAGGCGAGATGCAGGCGGATTCTTTCCGAAAGCGACGCTTCTTTCTTAGACAGGTTTCCAAAATAATTCGGAGCTAAAGCGACCCTCCTATCCAACTCCGTATGGATGGTGCAATCGCTGGAGATGATAGAATGAGAATATTTAAATTGATCGACTCATTTAAGAACTTTAACTCCTTGTGTCATTTGAGATAAGTTGGGCCCGATGGGTTCTGCATGGCTTTTGATTTCCGGGAGTTAATGAAGAGGCCAGCCTTCGCAGCTATGTTCCACAAGAGAAACCGTCAGGTGATAAAGCCCGCTTTCCTTACTACTCATCAGGTCAATATCATCTCCGAGCGCCAGCTCAGCAGAATTTCGTTGAATACCTTCAGCTGTACCTTCTCTTTAGAACGAAGGATGTCAGAGTGCCATCTTTCCAGGATCGACACCATTTCGTAAAAGAAAGTTGAAAACAAAGTGCATCTCCTTTGCTAACTATACAGTTCATGGGGAATTTTCTCAGCTCTCTTTCGTCTTCAACAGTAGATATGGCTGCTGCGTGCATCGTTTTTGAAATGGAAACGGTATGCCGAGGCATCTTTAACTACTTCAAGAATTTCCGCATCGACGGACGATGCAATGAATCAAATGCAGCCTTATAATCAAGGAACATTGGCAAACAAAAGCAATGGGAATCGTCATCAGTGCTAAAGAGTGAACATTTGCTGAGGACCGGAATATTCCGATAGGGAAGCATGCTTGAATTGGGCGGAGTCTTCTCTCAACTGTCTGCTTCAGCCTTCTTAGGATAACGCGGGAAAACATTTTGAAGGAATTGGCAGTAGCGTGATACCAGAATGGCTGAAGCAACCAACTAAGCTAAGTGCTTTTGAACTCATTGCAGGAGTTCATGTTACTGATACTGCAGAACAGGCACTTCGACCATGCTTTGAACGCGCAAAGACAGTACAGCAGTAGCTCTTAACCAGGTTACTTTGAATGTTCGATGCTACGGTGAAGATTTTCTTTCTTAATACAGTCAAGTTCGATAAATTGTTTTGCTGGGAATCATAAAGAAATTATTACAGTACGCAAAAGTTTATGAAATGTTCTTTCAGTACTGTGACGCCGGAAACGAAACAAGAAATCGCAGAAGTACCCGAGTGCAAATACTCTCTTCGTTTGGGCAGCCTCACCGGGGTCGAGGTAGAATTTGCCAAAGTGGGCGACCGCATTTTTCATGTCTGGGAATGTAACAAAGGTAAATCAGACCTTTTCATGATGCAATTCATGTGGTATGCAGAGAATGAATTTTCAGACCATTACAGAATACTGGTGAAGAACTGCCGTGTGGAAGATGGACAAAGCGAAATATTTGAAGTTATCGATGGAATGGGGTGAGTGAAAGGGTAGTATAGCCGAAGAGGTGAAGTGCTACAGAGTCATCAACAAATTACGGAGGTTCAAAAAGTTTGTTCTAATTTATTAATAATGCAATAATGAAAGCAGCAACCATAAAACCAACGTTCACTTCGAAGCAGAAGAAGAAAAAGAAAAATAAGAACAACATCAACAACTAGTAAAAGAAGAAGAATTACTATTTAAGTTGACTTCAAGTTTGAGCGTAAACTCATAATTTTACACATTATCTACCACGATTGTATGCATGCAACTGAAGCAACTAAGCGAGCAAATCTGTGCAACAGCAAGGGAGTACCAAAAGCAGCAGATCAGCAATGAGGAACGGTTAGGCAGCGGTGCATGTTTGTTTCCAACCGGTGAACCTCTTCGTTCTCGTCGATTAAGCATCAGACGATAAACAGTACTAATGGTTTGCACAGTACCTCTGCCACACACCTCCAGTATCAATATTGTCATTTTCGGCTACAAGGCCATCGAAGTCAGAGTACCGTGACTGCCATTTGTGTTGGACCTGAGGAAAAACAACGTTGGTTCCGTCGAGATATGCACCACGTCTTTCATCCGACGTATCTTCGTTCTGGCCGCGCCATGAATGCAATCGGAGCTTCTCAAATAGACGTTCTTCCTGAGTGTTTAAGCGTGTGTTGGTTGGCAATTCATTTTGGGTGTCAACCTTCGTGAACCACTGGCGTTGACTCCTCAACTTTCTCCCACAACCTTGCGAGGTTTTCGTCACGGAAAAACATCAGTGGCGAAATACGGACTACATCATCGTTTTAATCGACCGGAGAGGCGCCGGCACCGCTTCAGCACCAGATTGTCATACCACGGCGTATGATTCTGAAAGGAAACGAAGTCTTTAAGAAATGACTTGCCTAATACAATGATTTTAGGCGCAATGGTAGCTTGATTGAACACGGGTGAGAACTTTTTACTACCCATAATATTTCTACCTTGTAATAACGGACTTTTTCAGCATAAAGTACTAGGTTATCACAAATTAGTTAAATACAAGGCGGTTGCACACTACTTCACTGACATAGTAGAGCACTTCTCGTGCTTTCCCATGTCGGTCTGTGACGACTCAGCGCGGCCGTTCTCATGTCCATGTTTTTCTTTTGATATTCCAACTCTTTATAAGTCAATGCTCCTTCTAAAGTGTAGCCCTTCTGATTTCTTAAGATAGTTCAGAAACTATAAAGTACTTGGTAACTAGTACATGCATTACTGCTTCGATTTCGGTAGTAGCACAGCTATTAAAACAAAGCAGAACGGGTTCTTGTCACGAGGCTGCCATCTGATGCATTTGAACAATATTATATATCGCATGGTCAAGTTGCGGCTACATGTCTTATAAATGACTGCCCTACCAATTGTGTATGATAGAATATACATCCACCATAAAGATAACGAGTAACAGTGATTAAGGGTTAGATCACGCAGGCCGATTCTGATAAAGGCAGAAGGGACGCAGATTAGCTGATTTTAAAATGAAAAGGCAGTGAAAAATAAAGAGGAGGCGCTTTCTAACAGCCCTAATTATTAATACCTTTACAATAATGTTGGAGTGCATAGGTAAATGGCGGATTTTACATGGTCCTTTCTATTTGTTGCCCTAAATCAAGGTTCAAGAAGAGAGAACTGTTCATAAGCTTAGTTACCAGATTATCAGAACTCGCTGGTTGAACCGGTGATTGTTTTCAGTAATTTAGCACAGATTCTGAGGAAAATAGTCATAACTAAATGCGACGTGAAGCTCTTGGCAAGAGGCGCGTGGATGTAGCAGTATTTGAGTGTTTTGAAAGGCATGCGCTTCATAAAGTCAATAAAGACTGACAGAGAGTGCGTAACTCTTGATTTAAATATCTTTTGGAGTGGGCAGACTTCCTTCTAACAGCCAATGAGGAGAATCCATTACCTCCATTAATCTTACGTTTCAGATGGATGTAAAGAAAGACAAGTAGTTGTCAGTTTCGTGCTCAGAGATCAGTTTCAGGGTACCCGTTAATTTGTTGGCGCACACTTGATCGTCGCACAGGAGGTCGCCTGGACAGTTGTTTAGCGACTTCTGACTTGGATTTTATAATTTAGGGAATGATCCGTTGGTTCAGCGTTGTTTCCACATCCATGAACCAGAGGGACATATCCCATGAGAGTTGCATGAAGCGTTTATTTTGCAATTTGTTTCATACACATTACATAAGCACGTTCAATATAATGCAATGCAAAAATTCTGTGTGATACAACGCGTGAAGATACGAGTAATTAATAATTAAAATTGTGTACAACGTCTCTTAAATAATCGAGATGTCGCATGTTGGCGTTACAGTTCTTGGGTTTTTCGAAACATACCAGAAGAGGAATCAATTTTCTTGATAATGCGTTGAATTGAATCAGTATATTTCTTCTTTTGTGTCTATTGTAGTGGCCTGCAACGAACCGGTTGATCTTAGTTTCGTTCAGGTTTCGTTTCGTTTGCAAACCACCAATAAACTTCCATACGGATGGATGGTGCGAGTCAATAACTTGCGAAAACTCTCGATGCCATTTCTCTAAGGCATTGTTCGTCGTTCGTTAGCCCTCATGGATAATGCCAAAGCAATTCAAAACTGTCAGAGCGAAGCGTAATTTCCCTCACGTCTGACGTCGGTCTGGACGACCAATCCAGTAGTTACGAAGTAGTCTATGAGTACTTGCGACTTCATCCGATAATCGTTCATTTCTAAATCGACCGTAAATGTTTGCTCAACGTGCTGCACTGGCACGAAGGATAGTGCAACGAGCATTCGGATTTTAAGGTGAGGCTAGCTACCATTCGTTGAGCATCTTTGCTGGAGAGGGTTCGTTTAAATGCTTCCGTGGTTGCACTGGTCATAGTGACAAAAGCACCCACAATGCGAAGCGTCTGTAAAGCTTCTGCGGAAATTGTTAATGGCTGCAAGCTCAAAATCACTCGGTACCGATTGAGGTGCCAAACTTGGTTCTAGGTACTTCAGGGTGTCCAAACAATTAGCCTCCGTTCTACGCGGCAGCAAGTCAAATACCGATGGTATGACGTTGGGGCACGGTTTTCGGTGGATCGTATACAATTGCTGAAACAACAGAGCCACTGTTTCAAATGTTCCATCAGCGTGCCAGTTGCGAGAACTGCGACAATAGTCGCAAATTATTCCTGATAGAAAATATTTCGACGATCGTTATCAGCTGCACTGTCTTGCATCAGGAAATCTTCACAGCCAAGCGTCTGCTTGCACCCTCCCAGCAGCACCAATTCATTTTGAGGAGGTTTCAATTGATAGTCCGACCAGTGATACAACATTCTGGCGTCTGGCAGTCTGCTTCCTGCCGGAAGGATGGCAATTTTCCGGCTACTGCTTGTGGCAGACCTAAAGAGTTAAGGTTATGATCTGAAGGAGTGAATCCTAAGACATTATTTCACGTTCTCTCAGCTCTTCGATAATTCTCCTTACTTGGTGGATGCGTTTCCTGATTGGCAAAATTGCGCTCTCATCGATTGTGTGCAATCTGGCACGACATTTGTTCTTCCGTCTGAGTTCGTACTACCACATTGCCTTCTCTTCCGTTTTTTTGTCTTTGATAAAAAACTGACTCAGGTACAGTAAATTCCGCTTCCCCTACCGGTACTTGTAATCAGAGACGTTCCTTGACGACCACCCATTTGAATTATTGTAACAACCATGACAATTGTATTCTCGACCAACTGTTGTGCCCATTACACGTGACATATGCAGCTGTTGGACACATAATCGGCTGTGCGGCCAGCAGATGTACGCGGGCAAATTTAGAAGACCCAATTTCAGATGATTGGTGAACATATATGGGTATGCATATAACTTATGAAAAAAGTTGTCTGGTCTCACTTCAGTCATTATTTTTGGGCCTTCGAATATCTCTGTGGCTCACAACACTGAATTGTTTTTAGGTGCTCTGCCGACGTTTCGTTGCTAACAGACGTATCCTATGTCCCCGGAAAAGCGTTGGCTTACGCTGAATGCAGCGCGTTTAAATTCGCTGACTTTTCCAGCATGAAATTTCAGTGCCGACTGGACATCTGTCTGACTCCGCAAGACTCGTGTTACTTTACATCGGTGCGTAAGAGAACTTCACCGCAAGCGTCCGTTCACAGCTTTCACAAAAATTTCTGACCCCGGCTTCTTTCAGCCCCCTGTCTGCCACAGAACAAAGCGCAGCATAACAAAAAGTTGGGTGACAGTGAAGAACAACGCGGAGAACCAGTCTGTCGCTGTCAACACACTGACCTTGCGGCGGGCGTTGAAAATAAAGGATCCAAGGCCGAAAGAAATCGGTAAAAGTTCTCTCATTGATACAACTTTGCACTTTAAAAGTTTACCGATGAAATATTAAAATTGCTGTACAGGACATGTGGACATGTTGGAAGTGCAACCCAGTAATTCGGCATGGAAAACTCCTAAAGGTTTCAAATACCATTATTTATGTAATTAAGGCAGGAAGAAAATTCAATGGATAAAACGCGGGCTCGTCCTAGATTGACCACATCCTGGGGCTTTGTGATTCTTTTAAATTCATTTGCGAGAAGCTGTCTGTTCTCATAACCACGTCTACACAATCCATGTCAGTTTCATATGCGTGTGGTACCAAAGTATCAAACAAGAACCGGATACTGAGAGCCACTGTGAGCATCCACGCCTCTGAAGAAATTCCTTAAGGCTGTACAGGGACTCCAACATGAAAGCACGACAGTTCCTGGTTGTACTTTTCTTCCTGCAGGTGCTCAGTCATTTAATCGAGAAGCACATTCATAATGGTCTCATCTGATGCTGATTTCTTGGATGTTTTTCGCTACCTGTTGTCATGCTTGATGGCAGTTGTCCAACCACCTCAGGTGTACATCAATGCCCACTTTTAAATTTGTGCAATATCCGAATCGTTTACTAATTTCGATATTCAGCGTGAATGTCATCTCAGCTGACTGCAGTCATTTAGTTGCTGAATGTCGTCATTTTAGTCGCTTGTAGTTTCACAAATTATTTTTTATTTACTGCCATCATTTTTAAGTAACAGAGCTGCAGACTGTTCAAAAATCTAGCGCTACAGTCCCATAGCTTCGGGTTTGTAACTAACATTGCGTCTTTCCATGGTTTATTGCCGTTTTTCAAAACATCTATGCATAATGCTTTGTAAAACACTGTAATAATTCAAACATATGCAGAATATGGTTTAAATGAATAATGAACAAATAAATACAATATGCTGCTGATTTCCATGACCCGAAAGTTAACGGGGCCTGAAAGTGGGTCAGTGACGAACAAATGAATTTATCAGTAAATAAATGAACGACTGAGTGCATGAGAAACGATTCTGTGTATTTTAATAATGACACTTCCTGGGGTGTCGTGGCAAAGAATCAACATTTAATTGTGGGTGGGTACGCCAGTAAGCAGCTTTGAAAATAGATTTGGGTCCAACAAACTGTTTTCATCCCAGCCAGATTAATAGCTAAAGGACAGCAGATGAAGGCAGAATTTATGATCTGGTCAAATACTGCCTTTCTATTTTCTCTATATATGCAGCAGATGTATTCATCATTGGGCATCGCATGAAAGCTTCGATATGCTACTGGAGCAATAGGTTTAAATGAACCTAGGAACTTTCGAGAAATACATGTCTAACAGATTCCAGTAACGAGGGAGCGACAGTTCTTTGACAGCCTTCTTACTTAAAGTAAATATTAATTACGGCACAGGATCAGTTACGCTTCAAATTGACTTAAGCTTGCAGAACGAAGACAGATTGTTAATTAAGTCAGTAGATGTGCTCCTTAAAATTTTTTTCCTTCCCAGCTTCATGTAGGACGATGAGTCAACATCCTGCAATCACAGCTTCACTTCGATCTGTTGTTATTCTCAGAATTACTTAATAAAGCGTTTGGTTTACATCACGTTAGCATCATATTTAGTGTTAACCAATCTTCGTAACTGTTCACTAAAGTTTATATGATACAGTAGAATTAAGTAAGGTTTGTTACTTAGAATATAATTTTTGACTTTATTGGTATTACAAGTAATACAAATCCGCGACCCAAAAAGAGAAGCGGCGGTAGAAGATGAAGATGGTATTACAAATTGATTGATTTAAAGTAACTTATTCTATGGTTAATGATATTATTAGCTAATATGACTGAATAATTATTATTACGTAAGGTCAATTTTATGTACTCACTTCCAAATACTGTATCTTTCAAACTCAAAGCCAATTCATTTGACTGGGCTTACACAGCGTGGCGCAACACTCCACTGCTTCTGGTCGCCTAAGGAGACAATTTAGGCAAGTCACCTA